TGCCAAGTTTTACTGAAAGATACTGAAAAGTTTTCGAGTTGTGCTCTGGAAACGAAGCCCACCCTTCCGTTTTGAGACTAAGTCCAAAACCTTTCCATGGAAACTGGGAAAAATGCCGAAAATCTGCAAATAGCAAAAGGTACCACCTTAGGTTCTGCTTGATATATCTACCAATTTTTTGTTGAAAAATATTGAACGTTTTTTGTGTTATGCTCTGGAAACAAAATGATTACGGACGGACGGACGAGGCATCGACTACATCCCCTGGCATGTAAAATGAAAGGTCATCTTAACTTTGGAAACAAAGAGCTTTCCAAAACACATATACATCTTTAGTCTGGTCAATAGAATATTCTAGAACCAATGAGTGGGATCATTTGTAAAAAATATTTCTGTTTCTGTTCCAAACACTTTCTGGTTTACTAGCCCAAACCAGTGTTTGGACATCATTTTCAGTTGGTGTATTAACTCTTACTAGCAAAGATTACTAGATAAATTGTACAAGACTTTGGGCAACAGAGAAGTGGTCACAGTTTCAGGTGAAAGGACTCTCGTGTTTTGCTATTTTTATGTAAACAAACACTGTCATTTTCACACCTGACAAGAGGACATGCAACATGCACTCCAAGGTTGCTGAAGCTATTAAATGTCCAAATTAAAGTATGTGAGTTTTCACATTAGTGTATTATTGTGCAATATGTATGATATATGTGTATGTGCAATCACTTAGAGAACATAAATCAGTCAAGTAACACTGTTATGCCAAATCAACAGAATACACTTGGTTGTTTCACAATTCTTAATAAATCTGTATGTTGACTGGTGGTACTTCGATCTTGACGTCTGCTAATGACAGTGAAGAGGACTTCTGTTGAGAATTCTGAAGATGAGTTTGTGCGATGGCAGGTACAATACAGTATTTATGGCAATAATGTTATAGAGTATTCATGAGAATTTTAGGTTTCTTTCCTGTGCAAGGGATGCAACTCGGCACTCTAAGAAACTGTGGTGCCAATTACCATAGTACATGTTTGCTCCCTTGAAAAAGAGCAGACATTCTATTAGCCAGTAAGCACTAATACTAACCAGAATGAAATCAACCGCCTAGGTACTGGCAACATTGAGACTGAATCTACCTGGGTCTGATTGGGTCTGTTTGTGAGACCTGAGGGCTTCCAGGAATACGATTTATGGTGATGTGTGGCTTCAAGAAATATAATGAAGACACAACATTGTAAAAGATGTGAAGCCTTAGTGTAATTTTGGACATTTTCTTCCCTTTTTCCAGAAAAGGATTTAAAGTTAACTTGAAAATGGACAGTTGAGACAGATAAATTGAACAAACATGATAAAAGTACACTTATGATTGTAAACAAACATAGGATATTTCATTAAATTAGTCTTTTTTCACACCCCCAGCATTTAACAATGGAAAATGCTATAAAGCAAATGGATCATTTCACAAAATATTTTTGAAAATGATATCTGGCTGAAACTTATTGAAGCATTCTGCTAAAGAAATTAAAATATGTTCTGTACAGCCCGATACAAATCTCATTTCAGTATCATTTCTGAGACAGGGAAAGATAGATAAGTTGTCCTTGGAGATGATGACACTGTGTCATGTGGTAATGTTGATTTGCTTGCTTGTAGAGAGTAAGAGAGTGAGTTAGTTTTATGCCACTTTTAGCAATATTCCAACAGTATCATGGTGGATCACAACAGAAATGGACTTCATACATTGTACTGGTGTGGGGAATCATATCTAGGTCTTTGGCGTGAAAAGCAAATGCTTTAACCTTGCAAGTTTGTAAGTTGTTTAATGTTGCACTAGATGACAGTTGACCAATATATCCAGTGAAAGACATCATAAGCATTGAGACATGCACAGACCATGGTCCCAGATGATTAGATGATCATATTCAGGAAAGAAAACCACACTAAAATTGACAAGAGTCCAATAAGAACAGCTATACCAACTAAAGTCCATTTCAACTCATCATTATCATTTTTTTTATGGGCAGCTGTATATAATGAGAAAATAACTAGTGATTAAGTCACATATGATTTAGCCAACAATGTTATACACAATATCATATGAAGTTTTGAAAAAAAAAAGACATGAAAAAAAAGAAACAACAGAAGTACACTGAATATGTTTTACGATAACCAAAGTTATTCACTGATGATTTGTTGAAATGCAGTTTCAGGTGACATGTGCTTATGGAAATGTTAATATTTCAGGTCAGAAACTTCAAAATAAGCATCAGATTGTGTTATATGAACATACACTGTCTTTCGTTTTGGAATAAATGAAAACCTTGCAACATTAGACACTCATATCTATAGTTCTACCTCATAAAAGGAAACAAGCTGCATAAAAATGAGAGGAACAAATTCAAAATATTTCAGGGAGGGCTCTACTTCTTACCACTCTTCTGCAGCATCAAAGTACCACTGCCATGGTATTCTTTGTGAAAATTATGTTTACAGATTCATACAGGAAAGTAAGTTGTATGTTTTCATTGGTTCTAAACTGCTCGTATGATGTCCTGCTTTATATCAAGGCCCATTGAATAAAGTTTGCTGACCTGCATGGAAATGATTAAAGATTCAGAACTGTGGTTTTGCAGTCTATTAAAGGTATTAATGACCATACTAACAGAACTGTTGTAAATATAGTATACTCATCTCTGCATGTTCAGGCTTAATTCAAAGAACCTCTTTCTCCCAAGAACTACTGTGTCAGGCCATAGCTTGAATACTGCTGACTGTGTTCTACGCCATTCACATTCGGGTGTTCACATAACCTGATAGTTACAGTCTAGTTAGACAGTTAGATAGTCCCTCAACACAACCAATTGACTTGATAGACATTGAAATTCTGTCCATTCCAAACCTATTTCTCAACAAGGTATGGTTACAAAATAATGGATAAACACCTGCATTTTTTTAACTATTTGTTTTCTTCTAAAATGACTCAAAACAAACACCTATGTTTCATGAGTTGTTGTTGCAGAAATTCTGTGAGCTGAGTATCACCAAAGTGGTAAATATGTGAAACCTGCATTGCTTCAGGCTTACTTCCAATATCAAGTCAATATCTGTCTGTAATATACCCATAACTGAAATACTGTTCATAGGGATGTTAAGCCAAACTCACTGTCCAACCTACATGGAAGCAAGCGAGCGAGTTTTACTCCATCACGTTGATGACTTCTCAGCAGTGTGCCCTAAAGCAGAATGTCAAAAGCAGGTATTGACTGAGAAACCACAAACCAGGATGCGTCTCTAATCACCTGAATCAAGTATTGCATTACTATGCTAATCATTAATTTATAGCTTGCCACTAAACATGTAAAAGCACAGTCACTGATCAGTAGTGAATTATCACTAAGTGGTTTAATGAGGGATAAGTCAAGCTGGTGTGTGAACCTCTTCAGACTGTCACAACTTCCTTTAATGAGGGTCTAAGGGACCATCCCCTAGAAGAAAGGGCCATAGGGAATACTTGAACCTGTGCTTCACTGCAGCAAGGATTGGCTAATACCATGTATAAAATATATCTGCTGGAAGCGAAGTGTCTAGCATGCAAACCAGGGACAAGTTTTTTGGGTAATGCTAGAGAGACATAATTGAATCCTGGTGCCTCTCCTATCACCTCACAGCCTTAGTTCTTCTCTGAACCTTTCAATTATAGAAGATTACAAAATCTTAAATTCCATCTGTGAACCAGTGCTTATCTTAAAAAAGAAGAAGTCAAAAGCTTTCAGAAAAAGCTGAGCCAAACCGTTATAAAAAGTAGATCTATATTGTTATGTTTCAAAAAGCTTACCATATTTTACTTTTGTGATAATCCTCTCAAGAAAATACAAATAGCAAACCCAAATATGTGAGCAATGGTCACCAATACCCCCAGCAATGACTTTAAAAAAAACCCAAACACATTACCCATATCTGAACACAATCAATTAAATGATTGTAAAGTTATTGGTTCGACAAATTTGATGTGGGACTTCAAGAAATATATCCCAAGTTCAAGAGATGAATTTTGTGATAATTCATGCTAAATTAACAATATCAAAATAGAACTTTGCACTGCATCTCTCCTATAGCCATGGAGGGTAATAACCAAATCTGAAAACAATCTATACAAATGTGTTCAAGTTATTTGTTGAAAATTCCGATGGGTCTTTTTAAGCTTAAAATATGTAAACATAATAAATTAGAAAATCAGAACTAATCTTTTCACTGCAACTCTCCTTTAGACAAAGAACCGGTCTTCCAAATTGGAAAATATTTTGACCAGTACTTTTGAATAAATTGTTTCAACAAACTTTTGAAAGTTCAGATTTGTAAATTGCTGTAATTCTTGAAAACAATAAAATACCATAATTGCTAAGACAAAGAAGGTGGTCCCCTGATTTGAAAACAATCCAACCAATAGTTATTTACCGTAGACCAATTTAGATCTGAGGTAAAAATCATATGTGATAGAAACTACTTGGTAATATTATAGCTGCAAAAGAAAATATCAGTAAATATTCTTCATATGAATGAATGAATATCAAACTGATGTCAAATGAATAACAATGTAAGAAATAAATAACCATGATTGCATTGAATAATATGGAAAGATTGGTTGACATCAAAGGATTGGATTAATCTGTTAATTAAATAAAAATCTAATATCTAATATTTCACAGAATTTTAGGAAAGAGACCGTTCAAAGTTTCACAAGTTCACAACTGTCAGAAATATTGCCATGTGTAACCTTGTAAAAGTCAAAGGTAAAAACGTAATTGCAAACATGAAATTTGAAATTCTTGATGAATGACAAATAAAGTGGGAAAAATATGAGATAAACTGAAAACAGACCATCCTGATAATTGCAACATCCATCAAACACCTAAATATGCAATAACAATAAAGATGTCTCCTCATGTATTATGCTTAATGTGATATAAGATGACATAAGAAGATGAAAATTGTGAAATTACTTCATTTGTTTGATCTTCAATGGCTGTCATCAGCTGACTGCGCTCCGGGTCAGAGTCTTCCACCTCCTCACCCCCCTGTTTACCCCCATTAGCATGTTCATTGGCATGGCTCATCTAGCAGATGCTGGGGACACAAACAACGCCTGCTACAGGTACTCCTGATGACGTTGCAGTGGTGGGATTCCTAATCCAACCACAGGTGAAGCACAGCTACGTGCTACACAACACACCTCTGGGGTAAATTTCACTCACTGCCAGTTGACTGTTGAAGCTGCTACTGGGAAGACCCCTTATATCCTCTTTCTTTGAAATTCTAATTGGAAAGTTTATGTGCGTATTTCCTTTACACAGATGAATTTCCACACATTTCTATTCCTGATCACGTGTGACTTCAGCTGACATGAGATGTTGGTATGTGATTATGGCACTGTGCTATTCCACACAATGTCTTGGACGATGGATACCAACACACGATTACTGTGTGGACTGATGAATTATACTGACAACACAAGCTTGTGTTCACTATCATGGAGCACCAAGACACCTTCAGCCTTGCTCAGAGCCTGACTTCACTTGTTGATGGTGATCCTTGAATGCCTGATCCAGCTGTGTCTATTACAGAAACAGGCTGGCAGATGGACATCTATATTAACCACACAAGTATCACGGATAAACCTAAAAGAAAGGTTATGGGTGAATGTTCCAACTCAAGTCTCAACTCCCGACAGAGCTTTTCCTGTCAATGGGGTTGAGTGGCAATTGTTGACGGCTGGATATCTAAACCGAGTCCTTCGACTGTAGTCAAAGGGATACAGCGACTGGCTCCAGCAGAATTGAGCACTCGCCCTTACTTCTCACCTCTTGCAGACAATGAAATACCAAGACTACAAGTGATGCCACAAAAATCAATTCTTTGTAGAAGAGAGTTTGAACATCAAGTATGGGAGTATTCCACCTGGTTTATGTAAGTATCCACTCAAAATAACTTCTAAAGGTGGTAGTAGATTAGATATCCTGCTTGTAACCTCGGCACCTAATTCATGTATCCTTCCACTCACAATAAATATACACCGATAGTGGCCATGCAGAAACAGTCCAATGACTGAACGAGCAGACAGCAACGTGACTCTAGTTATGAGCCTGTATCGCTCACATCCATTCACAGTGTATGTTGTATTGGGAGTCGTTAACCCTTTATAGTCCACATATGCAACAGATACCACGACAAGTGACCAATAGCAAGGGGCCAGTATGCACTGGCAGGACGTATTCCCCTGCTGACTGAGGTGACAGACAATGGATGTGATTAATATTTTATGGCTTGCTGTAAAAGAAAGTAACAAGCAATAATATAAACTGGCTGATGCTTTACATCTCCACTGAAAAATCAATGGTCTCTAGCATTTGTTGCTTATTGATTGTCCTGCCATCTGAACATGCTGTCTGGAACGCTATTCATTTTGAGGAAGTAAGAATTAGAAGATGGGTAGGTTTACATGTGTCAAAACTCTACAAAATCACTGGTTTGGCATAGGTAACCATTAGGCGCAATCTTAGCCATCTCAGGAAATCCAGGCTTGACAGTGTGATTTGACAATGCAAAATGTCAAAGGGGCACACTTGTCTGTATCACAGGATACAGCTGTAATTTACCTTGCATATTTTTAATACACCTTGTTAAAGGAATCAACAGTAATTTTCCAAGGACTGATTATGTTTTGACACCCACAATGTTTATTTTTAGTTGTTCTTGCTACCAGGTGGCACAGGAGAGGGTCTCCGTCATGTGATATGTCCCTTGTTCCTTGTGTTTTGTACCATCTCAAATTGCCCTCTTCACAGTATTTACAAACTACAGTCACAGTGGTAGGGAGATAGGAGACATAGAAAAAAGTCTTTACTGAGGAGAGATTAGTGCGGAAATGAGAAATGCATTTGTTTCTAAGTCCAAAGCGACTTATTTTAGAACAGACCATGTCTTTATGCAATTATGTATTACAAAGGACATTTTTTAAATGCCTATTTTGAAATTAAACTTAGCTTCATTATAAACAATAGCTGACGTAAAAACTAATAACTTTAATACTGAAACTATTAAGGATGTAGCTACCATGGAGTCTCAATATCACTATAAAAAGCAAAAGGTAGGAGGGGTCGTCTCAATAGCAAAACCAGGACGGGTGTCGCAGACGGTGGTTGGGGTCGGGCTTGGGGATAGAGATATTGCATTTCCATGTAACATTTGGAAGTTTATATCACTATCTAGTCTGTTAAACATAATTTCAAGTAGATGACAAAACAATATACATGAAATAACAATATGCATCTAAAGTTGATTTGAAATAAACAGTTTGGTTATTCTTCTGTACCAATTCTATTGTAAACATAATTTGATTGACAGGATGTGCATCTAATTTTTGTATCTAACATATTTTAAGTCCGATTCCCATATGTGAAGTACAAAAGTGAAGTAGGGTGTTGCTTGTGTGAAGAATTATAAAACAAACAATCACAGCATTATCTGTTGATTTCTATGTTACTGATGAGTGATCAAATCAGAATCTGCATGTTGTGATCAATGCCATCATTACATGTATTCTTATAAACTCTCTTTATAGCACAAATACTGCTCTTTCACTGGATGTGACTGGGGATTCATGATTCAGCCATCATAAGTTGAGATCCTATCTCCCTTTATAAGCCTCTAGCAACATGGCACTAGATTAGCAGATTCAATAACTGAAGCTGTAATAGAGGTAGTATTCTTTGAATAACTAACAATGGAAACTATTGATACAAATACCAAAGTTCTATTACATCCTTGCAAAACATCATCTGATTGTTTCCACAGAATTCGTTTTCCCAGACAGTGTGTAAAAGACAAGACACAATGTGGCAGAATACAAGGTATGAACAGCTTCTATGAGAGTGCAGATAGAACAACTGAGAGGTTCCACTTGGGAATATGTGCAAAGTTTCATCACCCTCTATGAGGAATGAATTCATGCGAGTTAAGGTTCTGATGATATCCGAAAGCTTGGTTTGCTGAAGAACCAAATTTAAGGTAAAGCTCATCTTTCAATGATGCTGTGGCAGAACTTTACATCATGGTCAAGGATTGCAGATGAGGATGATCTCAGGATTGAGCAGATTTGGAATAGGCTGAAGCTTGTACCTTCTACAAATACCTTCCTTGCCTGAAGGTGGTTGTGTAGGATGCTATTTATGATGTTGGTTGTCTGAATGGTTCCTTCAAGAGGCTGTCTGTCCTCTATGTTCAGAAATCTCCAAGAGATCAAGTGAACACCTTCAGTTCAATGAACCACCAACCATGTAATGTCACATTAACTTTTGAATCGCTCCTAAGGGAGATGGCTTGTTATTCATGCAAGTGGTATGTTTGACACACATTCTATCAGTGTTGACAGACATTCAATCATCTGCTGTTACCCACATGACAGAAACACAGTCCCTGTCATGAAAGTACATGATAACATTGATGGAAAATCTCTAATTTGGGGTGAGAAACTCTAAAACTGATTTTTGTCATCAGGTCAAAGGATACAAACAGCATATATCTAATCTGTATTACATACAAACATACTCAGGCAATCAGAATCGCTAAAATTGGGTGCCAGAACCCAGAAGTAAGGTTGGCGGACTATAGCTTCTTGTCACATGTTACTTGTCAATTTCCCAATGCAATTTTCAGCCACTTCAATAACCAGTGACCTAAAACTTCGCTGTTGGAGAGTGAAATGTTTCCTTTCTGAGGTGGTGGTTCCCTGGTACCCCAAATACACCCAATTTGGTGAACAACCTCCTTCGAAAATTAGCAAGAGGTATTTGATAATATAGTTACTCCATAGTAAATCTGATGAGAGAGTTGGGACGGTAGGGGCATGGCACAGGCTGGAAGGCCTGGACCTGTTGTCCAGTGACAGTGCCTCTTTCATCTCTGAATTCTTCCATGATTCAGCTATCTTTTGTTTTTAGAAAAGTTGAAAAGATTTTTTTTTGTGATGGCAACCAACAACAGACAACATTTGAGTTATTAGATATTAGAGTTCTTGTATATTATTGGATCATAAGTTTTCAGATGTCACACATTTTAGGCAGAGCATACTCATGCTATAATGAGGGATAAATTCTGAAAATGATGATTGTTTTTAAGGCAAAGTTGTCATCCACAAGTTAGTGGCATGTTTGCTAATTGTTCATGTTATTATTGAGAAAACAAGAGATGTTCTTAAGCATAAAAAGCATGATATGAGGATATGGAGGAATTACACCATATCTCTGCCAGATGTATCCACATGCATCTAATTCTATGGATTCCATCAGTCAACTCCCAAGATAAGTCTGTTCAGGTCAAGACCAGCTAAATATTTCATACCCTGCTCTTTTGAGAGTAGACAACGAGGACCACAGCTCATTATCAACATTTGTTATCAGCAAGCTCCTGAACACATTTGTCAAATAAACTCACAATGTAATTAACAGCCTTAGGGATGTACAATACCAGACTATGACATAAGACATGAATATTAACCCCTGTGTTCTGCTGAACTGGCAGATGACTTCAATAAAGCTAAATTACCCACCAATACTAGGACTAATGTTTATTCCAAGGGGGCATCAATAACGTAACAGATTATTCAGTTTCACCAAGCCATTCCAAATGAAAAGTGATGTTGGCAGGTTTGTGATAAATACTGTGACAGTACACTATATGTATGCAGTTTGTTTCAAAATTACAAAAAACTTGAGCTCATTAAATGTGTTCACCCAAGGAGGTTTTACCTTGTGCCACCTGGTAAGTACAAGTATGATAAGCTACATCATTGATTTACATTGCTTATACTAATAGTCACACATTATACCCATTTGAGAACCAGGGCCCTTATTCTGGAAACGTTCGTAGCTCTAAGAATTCTTAACTTTGATCGTAGCCAATGTGTTAAGAATGGGCTTAAGAAGTTCTAGGGGTTACGAACATTTGAAGAATTGCTAGCCAGGACTTTGGCCATGACAAGGCAATGCTGTAACCACAAGGCTACACAATGGCTTGCTGATACCAATCGTTTGGAATACTTGTGACTTTTTTTTGAGGATTCAAAGAGACTGTTGTGCACATTATACAGCCTAAGAAAGTCAAAAGTATTTGGAATTAAGCCATACTTTCATACAGCTGCAAAGTTATTGATGCAGCATGAGGCGTGTACTTTGCTTGTTTTGGAATTAACTAATTACAGATCATTTGTGTGGAACAAGTGTGTTTCCTTGTTTAACATTTCTTGTTTAACATCCCACTCAGCAATATTCTGTCTGACATAGGTCTGTAAATATATTCTGGACCAGACAATATAGTGATTAACATCATGATTATCGGTCTATGCAATTGTTAACCAAGTCACCGCACCTCACAAACAGATCCTGTTAGTCACCTCTTACGATCAGCATGTAGTGTTGAGACATTACTGAATTTAATAACTTTGAATAAGACAATATATTTGTGATATGGATCATATGCATCGCCTTGTATATCACAATATATTGTTATATCCTTCAGACTTCCAAAATCCATCCTTCTAATTAAACAGCATCAATATCTTCAGTAAAATGAGATGAAATACAAGCAAGATAGACCAAAATGATTTTTCATTCATGTGTATTGATGCAGGTCCACTACTGCTGTCAATGCACTGTCACAATGTTTTCTGTGTTTCTGTCTTTTTATGAGGTTACAAGGCCTTTTTTATCTGGAGACCAAGGCATTTAAGGTAATGTTGCTTTTGTTATCACTTAGTCCCTGGTGGGTACCTGCATGATATCCCAGAGTCCTTGACCTGGGCCTCCTTTCACAAAGCACTAAGGTGATCATAAGTCACTAAGGTAACCTTAGTGCAATGTTAAAGAATGGGAGTTAAGGTTAACCTTAGTAAAGGTTGCTTCATGAAAGGACCCCCAGTTAGTGATCTCATATTGTTCAACATAAATGAAGTTCAGTTTCATCATTGAATTACTTGGAAAATGTAGTCATCTTTGTGACCTCTCAATATTTCAGTTATTATGCAAACAGGCAGCAAAATATGTCCATCAAG